CACTATACATATTTGTATTTATTTTCTTTCCAAAGTGAGTTTAAAACTTTTTATAGATTTCCCTACCTTTTCTTATCTTTTTCTTTCAAACCAAATACAGCCTTATGGGTAATGAACATGTTTTCCAACAAGTACCCATATATAAGTGAGGAGATTATAGGTCCCACTTGAACTTGATGTATATTATTTGATATATAGTTCTATTCTTTTAATTTGGTGACCACGTGAGGTTTTGCACGTGCCAATTCCCATAATACATTTAAATTTAATTACCTCGTATTTAAACAATAGGTATATATCAGATCTCTATTTAATTTATTTATTTCTCTATCTTATAAGAGAGAACCTCAGCTGAAATTAATAAGGCGATATTAATTAATTGTACGTGAAAGGTTAGACCTGGAGCTGTTTACCTAAAAAAGACCTAGAGCAAAGTTGTAGGGCATTTGGAGACAGCCCAAGGTAGAACCAAATTAGTCATAATAAAACTCCAAATGGTTTGGATATGTCAACTTCCATCTATTGAGCAGTTTCTATTAGAAAATTTCATGGGAAACTAGAACAAAGTGAGAGAAAATATCAGGGAAGAGAGAAATTCCTGAAATCTCCACTTTTCTCCTTCAAAGATAGAATTTCCAAAAATGTAACAGTGTGAACTTTAACTTCTTTTTGCTTCTGGAAATATTAAAATTCTTAATTAGACCTCTCCTACTGCTATTGTGGAGATATATCCATCGCTTAAGTAATCAGTGGGCGAGTATATATGGTTGAATTTCATCCCTATTGTCCAGATTTCAGAGTTGACTCCACTGAGTCAGTCAATTAGACCCAAAGCAAGCTCAATTTTATAAGGAGACCATTAAAATTCAACAAAGAAAATTGAAAAAAAAAATCCCCTTTTGCTCAAGCAAATTCAATTAAGTTGGGTTTTCTTTTTGGAGCACAGGTTGATCTGTGTATTAGAAACAGCCCATCAGAGACGGACACTGTTATTATCCAAGCTGGGTTCCATCTCTGATATATAATAAGCCAAAAAATACTACTGAAAGAACCAAACAGTTTTACTGGTTAATTTCGCTCTTTAGCCATGGATATGAATCATCAGTATCCATTATCCCAGCCCAGGGTCAGACCAGAACACTCCAGCTACCAGAGGGTAAGCTGGTATCAAACCTACCAATCCTTACAGCTGGTTAGAGAGAGAGAGAGAGATGTAAATTAATATATGTTATTAGTTAATTACAAGGATTCTGATGATAAATGACAGTAATAAATAAAGATAAGAGTATGATGAGTTGGGATCATGTTGATTCATACATATCCCTCCTTCGCTTCGTTCCTTCCCCATTAGCATTAATTGCGTCTCGTCTCCATGTGGAGTAGAAAACAAACAACGACACAGAGATGAGAGTATGAGACGACGTAGCGTCGATCTTCTCAAGAGGATGATGAGTGTGAATGTGAAGCTTGCAAAGTCCATCCACTAGGAACCATTAATGGCATTTCGTTGTAATAAACCACACACGGGCTTTCATGATTGTGCACACCCTCATACGTCGTTATCACATACCTCGAGTCCTCACGGTCTCTTTCCACTCTCTTCTTCACATTGCATCCTCCACTTGAGCAGCGATAGTAATTCCTGGCCATATATAATTACCCAACATCACCATCTACATTTTACTAAAGCGTTATATATGCTAAGAAAACTTTTTTACTTTAGATATAATAAATTAATAAAAGCTGCTCTCTCTCTCTCTTAATTTCTATGATTTGTGAACCCTCGCAGACTTCACCAGCTCAAAATCTTCATCAGAAAGATCATTATGATTAATGAACAAGTTAAGTGGAGAGAAAGACAACTTGACAGCTTCTTCATAATCTTAACTCGTAATTAAGAGAATCCAATCACACCAACCAATTAATCCCAACCCCTGAAAGTTGCCCCATATACAGAAAAAGATGAATATATATATATATATGCCATGCCTCACTATAGTGAGTCTGCATATAGGAGCTGCACTTGAAGGCTGTTTTAACCAAATATATATACCACACCCCAGCCATCAAGTGTATATTGCCCCACACCCACTCAATCTCTCACTTCGTGTGATGGTTGACGTACGTGGGGCGTTATTATTCGTAAAACGGACACCAACACAGCCAGCCAATCAAGTGCAGCTCATCGAGTCTCCTCACTAGTTACAGAGCTGGTTTTTCACATTTTTGCATCAATGCAGAGCTTCGAAGATATTCCAAGAAAAAGAGATCCTATCTTATCCTACCCATCTATTACCAAACCTATTAAGAAATAATCAAGATAAGATATAGGTACTCGTGAAGGCGATAGCTGCCAAATTAAAAGCAACTCGATCACAGACACTAAAATATGGATCTTAGGTGTGTTCTGTGGCTCAAAATTTGGGTGACATAAGCAACCCCCCAAAAAGCAGATCTCTCATGTCGTCACCGTAAACATCATCAACTGATTTTGTTTTGCTCTGTGTGGTCTAATCGAAGAGATAACCGGCCGTATAAATCTAGATAGAAATTAATTAGAAACACTTTCGATCGCATATACGGTGTATAAGCGACAACTGTTTCTGTTGTTACCTCGGGTTTGGACTGTTCTTCACCGTCTTCTTCCCGTACTTTCTCCATTTAAATCCATCGTCGATGACCTCAAGCTCAGATTTGGTTCTGAATGCAACTCTGGAGCCTACATCCATCTTAACTTTCTTCACTCCACTTTTGCATTTTCTGCAACCACATAAACAAACAAACACCCAGATTAGAAAGACCATGCAATCAGCTTGTTGTTATGGTAAAATTGGGTCGCCATCACTTGCATGTTGCTACTTGTGGACGTATCGGCGACGTAAGTAACGGAGTTGGTGGTGTATCCAGTTGAGTCAGTGATGGCCTTTTCCGGTAAAACTGGGTTCTCCGGATGGCATCCGATGTGGTGGCTGGACATGGAATCTTCTATCGATCCGTCTTCCAGAAGCAGATAATCGGAAAGTTCGAACTCCGGCTGGTGGGAATAATTCATTAAATCAGTATAATTAAGGGTTGGGTTAGGATTTGAATTGGGGACTTGAAGGAAGGCTGTTGCTAGGGAAGTGGAAGCCGCCATGGTCAGAACTCAGAAGTGGAGGGGACGAAAGAAATCTCAGACGGGGGAAGGAATGAGGAATCAGAGATGTTTTGGAGCTTTGATTACTTTCCTTTTGATGAGTTCTGAACTTCTGATACGCAACAAGTTCATCGTGCTCCGATTAATTTATTATCTCTCTCTCTCTCTTTGGCGATCTTTCGTGGATACCTTCCTGGAGGGATATAGTGAAATTTTGTTATTGGTCCACGTGTCATACCCGATGCAATATGTGGGTCCAGCTTACGCAATTTTGATGACGCATGGCATATTTTTTCGACCACTGTGGTGATTTATTGTCCTTTTGTGATCTTTCATTGGTGGTGTCGGTACAGTGAAAGCTCAAAGCTTTGTAAGACTGTTTTGTCAGCCGCCAGGCATACATCTCCTCCCCAGCATATCCCCGCCGCATATCGAGAACATCTCCTCTACATTACTGGTGATGCTTGAGAGACGGGCCACGGTGATTCGGGCACTGTATATATTACAACACCCGTGTGGATACGGCAATTGTTCCTCAGCTAAGTTTTCTTGCCCCATAAATTTTATTTGCACTGGTGTAAATATAAGTGGGCATATATGTTGAATGCCAACTCCAGCTTACTTTTGGCATCCAATTTCACTTTGTCTTCGCTTGCAAGAGTATAAATACAAATATATAAAATGCAATACCTTGTACTTTATATTATTTTATATTGCTAAAATTTGTTCTTGCATTAAATATATATATATATATATATATATATATATATATATATTTTTATAAAAATTATAAAGATGTGATCCCTACTTTATATATGATAGAGAACTAAGGTAGGAGGGAGAGGAGTATTGCTGCTAAATGCTAATAAAAGCGTACGGATAGGATTTTACATCTCCCTACAATTAGATTGCCATGTTAAAAGCATGTTAGCATGATTTTAATGGTAGCAGATCTGGGCTTGGTAGAAGAAGGATTATTTTGGTGATACAAATTTTGCATTCTTGGTTAAATAATATAAATAAGGTAGAATGAAACTTATCGACAAATGCTTTTCAAACCAAATGTCGACAATGTTGCAGAACTATGAAGGCAAAGCAGAGAGTTGTAGAGAAATGAAGGGTTGAGTCATGCCACTTGGTCATTCTTTTTAAAATCACATTTGCCTGTAGCCGGGTGATTACAAATCGGTCGTCAAGATAAAATAGCCCATAAGGCACTGGTAAGCGTGCACTCGCTTACCAGACCTCCATGAATCACTTAGAAATGATGCTCAGAAAAGAGACAAACAAATAGACAGAATGGTTTAAACCCGTACCTGTACTCATACCCTTGCCCTCGCCCCGTCTTGACCCAGCCCAACCTAGCTCGACTTGACACACACGTGTGTAGAAACAACTTGGTACCATTTGATTTGATTGTGATGCCTCTTGTTTTTTTTTCTCAAAGATTTTGCATAAGATGAAAAAACAATAAAGGAAA